CACTCCTTTCTTCAGTTTATATGGTCGTGACCCGGTTCTACCTATCGACTTAGCCTTTCTCAACACTGAAAAAGACTGGAAAAGCAACGAGGTTGCTGCGTACAGGATGAAGTTGTACTTGTCGTTACGTGACTCAAGGCGTCTAGTGGAACGACAGCTACTAAAGGCTCAAGATCGGCACGAGCAGCGTTTGGGTAAGCAAGTCAAGGTCACATATGAAGTGGGGGATCCCGTTTGGGTCTATCAGTATTTCAGAGCGAAAGTCGGTGAAAACAAGACGAAGAAGTTGGCGTTCTCTTGGCACGGTCCGTACCGTATTGTCGGCCAAGTCGGGGAGAACGCCTACAAGATTGCGATACCCAGACATCCTGACAAGGTTGTTACGGTGAATGTGAATCGGTTGAAGCGCTTCCGTGGTCGTTGGAGTCGACCGTTCGCTGATGATATTCCTGAAGGTTCGACCGAGAACGTGACTACCGAGAACGTGACTGATGAGAACGTGACTACCGAGAACGTGACTGATGAGAACGTGACAACAGAGAACGTGACTGGAAGCGACATGCGTACGGAGCCAGGACCATTGCAGGAGGATGATCTACCTCCATCGAGTTTTGTGGAACGTTTGTCTATTGGAGATGAAGAGACTGCTTTTGCTGGTGTCTCGTCGCCTATTGTGGATATTCTTGCGAAGAAAATGGAAAAGGGCGAGCTTCAGTACCTGGTACTGACAGCTACCTACGAGACGTTTTGGCTGTCACGAGCTGCTCTAGCTCCGGAGTTCGGAACGTTAATCACTGCCTTTGAAGATGCAGATCGTAAGAAGAAGGGTTTGCCGGAGTTACGTCGGAACGCCAGATTGGTCGAAGCCAACGCTGACGTGGACGACGCGGATGTGTTGTTCTAGCTGGTCACTTGACCGGTTGGAACGAGTGGAGTGTGATGACTTCACTCTAATCGGTATTTGAGAACGAGAGAATCTCAAGATACTGGGTTGTATTGCTGCATTTTACATATGAGAACGAGATGAGCATGGATACTTTGGGTTCCAATTTGGAAGAGTTGTTACGAGACGAGATTGTCTGGAACGAGACAAGGTTGGAACGAATAATTTGGAACGGCGCGTCTAACATTGATGGAACGATGGTGATTTGTGAAAGATTGTGGAACTATAAGAAGTTTAGGGACGCAAAATTATTTTGAGGCAATGAACTGATAGTCGGACGACTACTACTCGCGTTAGCTGGAAGACTACTTTTTGGTGGCTTTCTCTTTCTCGGTAACAGCTTTCTCGTTGTCTCCTTCGTCGTCAGCCTCCGCCTTGTTGTCTTCGTCCTCTTCGTCCTCGTCCTCCTCGGCCTCTTCGTCGTCCTCAACCGCTTCGTCTCCATCTTCTCCGTCGTCAGCGTCGGCTTTGACTTCCTTAGAGTCGGTAGCAGTGGAGGTCTCGACAGCAGCGGCAGGATCGGCGGCTTTAGTCTCGTCTTCGCCCTCCTCTTCGAGATCGGACCATTCGGCACGCTTGACCTCCGTCTTGGTCGGACCACGGACTTCGGGAAGTTGGTACGTGCCATTCTTCAACTCTGTCGCGACGGTAAGCTGGGTCTGCTTCACGGTAGCGTCGCTGATGAGGGTCCTCCAAGGTTCGTCACTCTTCGACCCTACCCACGTGTCCTTAAGCGTCACTAACGATTGGAGGTCGAGACGAACGCGTGCCAGAGCCACCATGGACAGCCGATTGGCCGGCTTAGCGGTAGGGACCAGAGCCTCCGTCGTCTCCAGGAGGGCGCGAATGCTTGGGTAGCCGTAGGCGTCGATCTGCACGGGTTCCAGTGCATTAGCGATCGTGGCTTCGTATCGTTCCGGATCCTTGTCTTCGAGGGAGGTGAGAGCGTCGGCTAGAGGTCCATCGTAGTGCGGCGTCTTCTTATTGTCTCGGCCGGGCTGGCCGCCCATCCAGAACATCAACGGGCACTTATCGAGGAGCGTGAGAAAGGCATAGAAGCCCCAAGTCTCAATGCACAAGCTCATGAAGGCGACTCGGGCTTGAACAGCTCGCATCTTTGCCTTCCGGCGGTTATTCTGCGCCGTCTCCGATGCCAAAGGCGCGTACAGAGCCCACTCCCAAAAGGCACGCCGATGCATCATCCAGAAACGCCAATGGGCACGATACACAGCGCGGAAACGGATAGGATTGTACCATTGAGGTCGTCCGGTCCACGGGAAGGCGATGCACCAAGGCTTCTTTCCCGCTGCTTCGGCCTTGGCGAGGATCGAGTAAACGGCAGCCTTCACGGAGTCGGGTGCGTCGGGATTCAAGTCGATCAACGCCTTATACTCCGCGGACGGAACGAGTGGAGATGGTGACGGAGCAGGCTTGTCACTACTGCGTAGTTTCTTGGTCGTCTTCACAGGCGGTGGTCCGCTACGGGTTTTTCGCTTGCTACGGGTGGTCTTCTTCGCAGACGAAGTGGCTGAAGCGGTGGACGATTTGGCAGGCGACGGTGCTGGAGCTGAGACTCCGGGCTGCGAAGGCAGAGCGACTACGGGACCGTGCAGAGAAACTGGAGACCGTTCCTCTACAAGTCATCACGAGTTGGTCCAGATGCGCTAGACCTGTAGATAGCCCGTTGCCTTCCAAGTGTCCTCGTAACTTGGTCCAGAACTCCCGCTTGATGGCCTTGGCGTCGTCGCCTGGCGTTCCATGTTCGTCGTAGTCGAGTGCTGCGTCGAAGAAGGCCTTGAAACGCGTGTGCTCTGCTGCTGACAGACGCTTGGACATGGCGATAGAGAGGCTGTTGTCGTCGAGAAATGCTCGCTGCTGGGATAGTTGGAAACTGACGGATAAGTTTCTCTCGAAAGGTTAGTGGCTGACGGAAGGGACACGTCGGAGAAAAAGACGTTAGCGACTGGGTGTAGAAATGGAACGACGTGAGAGATAACGATTTGGGTGACTCGTGACGACAGTTGGGACGAGGATGCTAACGGACAACACTGGCTGGATCTCTCAGTCTTAAGCGGCGTCATTTGAGAATGGCGGAAGTGCTGGAGAAGTGGTTTCACTGGAAGGATGTGGTGTGGTCGACTGTTAAGCTCCCCGAGATGGAGACTGGAGCGATGTTGGGCTGTGCTGTGGCTGGTATCGCGGTGTGGGTTGTCACGACTCCTTTACGGAACGTGGGATGGGCATTAGGTGCTAGTGCGCTGGATTGCGGTACTACTATCTGTTTCTTTTGGTACACTTGTAGTGACAGATTTGTCACTACGGTGCGTGGCGCGAACGCGAAGGCACTGCCTCCCAGGGAATACGCGTGTATTTTGGTCACGTTGTTGTTCCTCGTTCCTATGGCGGTACTCCGGAACTACGAATCTCGATTTGGAATATTTGGGCGATTGTGCCTTAGGTGGTGCGAGGCGTGGCATCACTCGTTCTGCCTCTTCGTTCCTGATGTGGTGCAGCTTATCTGGACGTCTTCCTGTCGTTACTTGAGGGCTATGGCTGAAGCTGTGGTTGCCTCGATTGATCGTGTGGGCGAATATCTAACTGGTGTCTATCTCGTGATGCAACTGCTTATGTCTCTCATGTTCTACTCGCCACGCATGCTGTATGAGGGCGTGGAGGGCGTACTATGCGGATGGATGGGCGTCGCATTTGTTTCGTTACTAGTTGACGTGGTGCTGGAATTCTCGATCGCTTGTCTCTATTGGAACGCGTCGGTGCTGACGCTGTGTTGCTATAGTCACGCTACGAGGTATTATTGGGCCTCGCAAGCAGGTGGAGTCGATCGATCTGGCATTTCAACGGCTCAACAAGGGTGGACTAAGCTCGGGGATAAGAAAGAGCGCCGGGAAGGGAGAGAGAAGGCCAGCCTCGACCTTTTGCGTGGTAGTCCGAGAAGTGGAACGTCGTCGGTGGAAAGAGATTCAAGCGATGCTTCGGTTGGAACGACACCTGTCGTTCCGGATTCGACGACCACCACTGCCGTCGGACATGCTGAAGGGAACGAGGCTCGGCGAGGACTCCGAGCGTCAGTCGGGGAGAATTGTCACGGTCTACGGCTGGCAGAAGGACTGGCTATTCTGGACGAGTGTTTCCGACAGTTTAGTGCACGGCAGAAGCTTAGTGCCTCGTCTGACTATCCCGTCTCTACTACTCAGACGGCCTCGTTCCAAGTCTGACGTGGAACCAAGGAATCCAGACAGTGGGAGGGTAGTGAAGTTGAGAGTGATGTCGGTCAGGATGGGGACTATTAGGAGATACCTTCGGAGGTAGGAGAGCAGGTAGGGAAGCTCTCAGTCGTGATTTTCCTTCTTTCAACAGAAGTGCTCAAGAAACAGAAACAAGAAACAAGTTAATACATTTGCTTTACTTTTACGTATAAGTTCCTACGTCGCCGGCTTACATAAGATACACGACCCCGACGAGAGAAGGAGACCGCGACACTTTGTTTGAATCTAATTATAAGATGACATGACATCGTAGTTTTTTTTTACTCTGCTTGGTGGTCGCGGTAAGACGACGTTTCACTTTACCAAAAAGACAAAACAGCTTAACGGCTAATGTGCTACGCTTCTGACGTCGACGACCTACGTCATACGTGCTCCTGGTTTTCTAATCCAGCTTGATGTTTGCAAGCTTATTGTCCACTTCCTTCAATGCGCCGCTCTTGATTAGCTCATCCATTTCCTTTACTTTCTGCACCATGTCTACCATCTGTAGTCATTCGACAAGAAGCTTGATGGCGTCATCGTACGAGACCTGTTCGACAAAGATAGCATAGTCGGTTAATTCACCGTCAGACCCCTATTTCTCCACCATCCACATGCGTACCCATAGGCGATAACGAACACTCTCGGCCCAATCGTCATAAATCGTGCCGGCTTTCATCTTGTATGCATAGATAATGTGACCACTGTCACTAAATTGTCCCAGACTATGTTCAAGCTGTCCATTTACCTGCAAAACGACGAGTTATTAGATGATTTCTTACGTGTTATAGAGCTCACAACTTCGCGTACCCCTCCTCCTCGATAACCTCACGTAATGCCGCCGTCTCGATAACCTCACCCTTGTCCCAGCCACCCTTAAGTAAAAGCCAGTCGTTCTTTTTTGGCTTCGAGCTGGAAATGAGAAGTACATCACCGCCTCCTTCTTTGGGTGATCTCGAAATCACAGCGGAAGACAGCAGTCTAGTAACGTCGTCGTCAGCGTAGCGCTGCACTTGACGTCCCACGTGAGATCCCAGATATTTCTCGGGAGCGATTTTGATGCCAGGAAAAGGCTCAATCTTCCTGCGCATCCCATCACTAGTTTTCTTCATGTACGTCGCGAGATCTTTCGCCCTCAGTTGCTCCACTTTTTGGATTTGCTTCATCGTGGCTGAGCTTAAGTCTTTAGGATACGGCGCGGCGACTTTAACCGCTGCTGCTGCGACGTCGTCCGCCTTCATTGCAGCCTTCTCCACCGCAACGTTTAGGTTTGCAGGGATCTTGGCCTTCCCGATTAAATCGTCAGCCTTTTTTAAAACATCGTCAGCCTTATTCATTCCACTGAAATCTCTTTCTTCATTTGGTTCAGCCAACTCGTTGAAATCATATTGACGCAGAAATTGCTTGGCTTGCTTGTTAACTTCAGCCAGCTCGCGTGTGAAGTCCTCTTTATTTGACTCGATGATTGTAAGGAGAGTGCTGTCAGGGCGAGCGATGATCGAAGAGACTGAAGCGAGGGAAAGCAACACAAGAAATAGTACACGCATACTTGGATTGCAGCAAGTAACTTGAGTCCTCGGGTGCCAGTGAAGAAGTGTCCACTATTAGAAAGCTCTTTATGCGTCGGGACAACATAATGTCGAGAAGACAAACGGAGGATATGCGTCGCAGCTTCGAACCAACACGGTGAACCTGTCACTAAACGATTACGATCACGAATAATCACTTCGAAGCAGGATAGTATGAAAAGTACTGGTAATATCGTACTGCGGATTTTGTTGATTGTAGGACGCGTATGTAATTTTAAAGAGTTATGTACATTATTTTCGAATAATTATATTGTGAATTTTTTGTAAACATAGTATCAGCAGCACCTGCATCCATCGGTACTTAAAAGATTTTAAAGAGTTTCTAGTAATTCGAATTCGTTTGATTGTTGCGAAGTTGCAAGTGTGTGATTATTTCGGTTTTGCTACTTCTCTGCAGTACTAAAGTGATAGTTTATTCATGATTGATCTTACATGTACCGCTCATAGTTATCGTCAGCCTTATTTAACCCCTTGAACGCGAAGGTTTTCCAGTGCACCCATTTACCGAAACCCTTTCGACGTTAACGTGTATGTCGGGAAAGGGTTTTAATAGTTAGACTGGTATAAAATTAATCCTGTAGGATGGTTAACCCCAACACCTAGGATGGTGAAAATTTGATATCGTGTATCCTACCAGAATATTTGACTTTGAAATACACTATACCAAGATATCGTGTCCAGGAACGTACAAAAACTGCTCACAGCCCAGCGCACTTTTCTCCTAAATATAGACTTCAAGTTCAGGTAAAAAGGGAGATACAGATTTCATACTTTTATCAAGACATTCAAGATCGCAAAATCATCTGCTTATGGTGTCGCAGCGTCGTTGTGACGTCTCTTTGACGGCCTACTGGTGTCATCATCCCCGCTGTTACCACTCGCAGACTTTGCTTCTTCGACACTATCGGCTGCTGGCCTGCGCGCGCGGATCTTTCGCTTTCTCTGTGACGGCGGCAACAGGCTGCCGTTACGCCAATGCTTGTGCCAAATCTCGAAGCACGAAACGGACTTACTTTGTTTACATGCTTGACCTTGTTGCACAGGTACACACGCGACGCCAGTGGCTGCTTTGAGCTTGTGTGTAGCTTGCAGGTGCTACAGTAGAATGTAGTCTCGCCCCCTCGCGACTCGTCGGAGCCCTTAAGCACCGAGCATACTTTGCATGCTCGTTGACGTCGCTTTCGACCTTTCCCGTTGTTTCCATCCCTCCACTCATCCACCTGCACCGGTACGTGGGCTCGCTGCAATGGCGGAGCGCGTGACTTCTTCGGGGTACGCTCCACCGCGCGGAGAGCATCCCAATCCGTCTCCTGCAACTGCGTCAGCTCCAAATGTAGTTGCTTCAGGAACTTGCCATGGCGGAGCTTGGTTTTTCAATAAATAGCACGCCGTCGATTGTGCACAATAAAAGCATTGACTGTTGCCAGGTCGGTGAAGCCCAGAAAAAGCGACTTGTAGTATTTCTTATACTTTGAGCCAATTGAAAAGAGTACCTGATACAACATTAATTATACAGGGTTAGCATCAACACTATCTTGTACATACAGCAGAAATGTACTCACCTTTGGAGGCGAAGTTGATCGTGTACATCAACTCCGCCCATGAAAGTTTGGTAATGTTTCAGCACTCTTGGACATGCCACCTCGACTTGCTCGCCAGAATTCGCTCGTCGAACTACGCGATCTTGCTCAGTACTTCCACCCGCACACAGCAAATGCACAGGACGGTTGTCCTACCAACACACTGCTTTCATACTCGGCACTAATGTTGACTCGGCAACAGCGTAGGTACCGCGGTGTACATCAGCAGGCCGCTCCTTCTTCTTCACGATAATCGCTTTGCAAAACCCACGCCGGTTGGTCATCACTGTGCCTATACTGTAGAACCCCATTGCTAGGAGCTGCATGGAGAGTGTAGGTGACGTGTAAAATCGGTCAGTGACCACTAGACGTTTTTCGATGGTCCCTCTTGCTCCAAAAACTTGCCTCAGGTTGCGAATAACGGCAGCTGGTCCACAGTTGGTGTCCTTTCAAGAGGATGACCTGTCCGTTTGCCGCTTACCACAGTAGACTTCAAACCTGTATCATACACATTTGCATTGTTACATACTTGTATCCTACAGCTTAAGAGAACTTTACAACCAAAAAAAAAGGAGCGTGCCGTGAGGCACGCTCTCAACTCACCTGAGACAGTATGCTGACGTAGAGCAGCACAACATGAAGAGCTTGGTCCCCCATTTATGGGGCTTGTCCTTCATGTAGACTCTCATCCGGTTATCCGTTGATCTTGAGGCAACATTGCCTCATCAAATGCCATCACTGGAGGCGATATGTAACCCGCTTTGAGCTGTTGTTGGAGCGCGTCGATCACAGGACGCAGCTTACAGGCACGATCTGCTGCGGCGCGGGGGTCGTTGTTGCTGCTGAAGTGGAGATTTCGAGAGATGTGCATGAAGCGATCCCGAGACATAAAAATCCCGAAGCGTCCACGAGGAATTCCTCCTTCGTCTGTCGTCTTCCAGTGATTCTCCAGCTTTTCCTTGTTGGGAACAATTGTTCGAGCAAATAGAAGCCCAACGAATACGCACAGCTCTCGCGCAGTGATAGGTGGCGTAGAGAGTAATGCAGCCTTGATCGCATCGCGCGTGCTCTTCTTGAATCCAGGAATCTTCTTCTCTCTTTGTTCCTGCTTCGTATACTGTCCTTCAACTTGTTCGTCGATCTTTTCATCAAAGTATTCGTTGCTTGCCTCCGCGATGTCTTCCCACAAGCGAGGCTGCATGAAGTAAAATAGCACCCCAGAAACCGTCGTGGCCGCTTCTAGCCTTCTCGGTGTAGGTCCGTAGTGTTCTCGGAACAACTGCGGGTAATCCTCTTGCATATTCGCCGTGCGAGGCTCATAAGGCTGGTCGAGATATGGAAATGGACTGTATGATACAGGATTAGACCATCCTTTGCTTGCCATATCCTTCAGGATATCAGCGCTAATCGGGCCGCTTGTAATACTAGCCATACCACCAACCGCAGTTAAAAGATCGTCGTCAAACAATGCTTCTGCTGGATCTTCATCATCTTCTTCCAGCTCGTCTTCGTCTCCGCCTTCAGTTTCATCTCCGAGTGCACTGTCAGCGCCGTCAGAACACCCGTCATCGTTTTCAGCATCGGACACCATGGCTTGGTACTCCTCAGGATCGTCTGCGTCTACAGTAATGTTAATATCTGCTACAGCACAAGTATACAATCTACGATCAGTATCCTGTATCACAAACGTGTACATACGATCTAAAACGCACCACCACAAAACGCAGCAATCCTTGCCGACCGGCGAGGACCCGTAATCTCTTCTTGTCGTACGGTCTCATCAAACGTCAAACGACGGGTCCAGATTGCGTTGAATCTCGGGATCATCTTCCAAGCTTGGCTCATCGTCAGACTGGAGGCTATAAGTCATACGAGCTGACACGTCGGGGTACTCGACTCGTGGGGTTGGAGAGAGATAAGGCGATGTGCAGCGCAACGTCGGTGAAGGCTGGCTGCCATCACTATCACTGCGCGAGACGCCATTAACTCCATCTACAACACAGCAGCAATATACATGTTAGATCGCACGCTAAACGGTATAATACAGGTAAACACAGCATCATACCATTGACTGGCGTTGTTTTTCGGGCAACAACATCATTCGTGTCTCTGCTGTCTTCATTTTGCTGATCACTACCTTCTGTATTGCTCTCCTCGCGTAACGTAACTGCTGTAAGTACCACGTTTGTATTATACATCATTAGCCGGCAGAATATCGTGTATATTCAAGACCAAGCATCACAATACCGCTAGACGTGGCATCGACGTCTTCCTGAGGCTCAACGCATTCAGCAGTCGTAGCAGATGCTGCTTCTGATAGTGTAGGCTGCTGTGCTTCTTTGGCAGCTTTCTCTGTTTCAATATAACACGTTAGACTGTCATTATGCGATGCAAAATAATTCAAGGTCTTACCAAGATCAATGCGGTCTAAGTAGCGCATTAATTCCTCTTCAACATCGACGCCACGGGTGTCCTTCTTGGTCTTACCAGGCTTCAAGTATGTGAAGTCAACAGAGAGGCCAGCCGGCCTCTTCGAAGACCAGCCTTCCTTCTTCAGCTCAGCCCAGCGGGCGCGAAAACCCGACATCTCTTGGACTCGGCGCAAATTCTTTAATGAGTGAAATGAGTGGCGTGTGAGCTATTGACTGTAAGAATTTGTCATACGTAGTCCACACCACACTAAAACCTCTTAGACTCAATTTTTAGAAAATAGAAAGACGCACTTCGAGCGGGAATTGAGTAGGTGAGACAACCCGGCATCCCGTCCCCTATTTCATTTAAAGTTTGTAAACCTCAATACAAACGTCAAGTCAAAATTCCTTATCGCGATGTTTGTAAGGAGAGTGCTTTCAAAGTGAGCGGTGATCGAAGAGACTAAAGCGAGGGCGGTAAGCGACCCAATAAAATGTACGCACATACTTGGATAGCAGCAAGCGACTTGAGCCCTAAGATAAACGGAGGATATGCGTCGCGGCTTCGAAGCAATGCGGTGGTCCCGTCACTAAGCGATTATGATCACGGTTTTTCACTTCGAAATAGGATTATGTGTACAGAACCGGTACTGGTAATATAGTACTGCATTATGGTTGTAGATTGTAGAGAAAAAAAATCATCATTTTCGAATAATAATATTGTGCAATTACTTATGCAAACATAGTATCAGCAGCACTTGCTCTGAAAGAAATTAAAGAGTCTATAGTAGCTCGAAAAATCGACCACGAGCGCTTGATTTGACTTGTCCTAGTTAAATTTATTAGCCACTCTAACTCGATCGGTCTATCCCTTTTATAACCCCGATTTAAAAAATGACCTCAATTTACTAAAAATAGAGCCATCACCCTAGTGATAAACGACAAAAGCTTTGCGAAGCACCGTTCT